CCCCTTTTCTCTCTCCCCACACTTTTTTTTCCCCTCCCCTCCTCTGCCCCAGAGTCCAAAGCTAAACTCCTCACACGTTTCCAAGCCTGACTTGTTTGTTTGCTTCGGTGGCAATTTAAGATGATTCACGCTCCTGGGCTTTCTGCTGTGCTTTTTTTTCTTTTTTTTTTCCCTCTCCCCCTGCCGCGCTCGGGTTGTTTTTGCTGCCCTACTGAAGCTTTTTTTTTTTTTGCCGTCCCCTTTCCAGAACCCGCAGGCTTCGCAGTGGAAGGATCCAGCGCTGAGTCAGCTGATGTGTTTCTGCCGGGAGAGCCGGTACCTGGACCAGTGGGTGCCGGTGATCAACCTCCCGGAGCGGTGACCCCGAGCCCAGCCCCGTCCCGCTGGAGTGGTGCAAGACTTTCGCAGTTGCTCAGGAAGGAACTCCCTGCCCCGGCTCCAGGATTCCGGGGCGGGCGGGGGGGGAGGAAAATTTAAACCCAACAACAAAAAAATATATATATAAAAAAAATAATAAAGCTAAAACATCCGGGGGGTGGGGTTTGGCTGCAGTGGAGCGATGCTGAGCGTGGAAACCCCGGAAAGCGGCGCCTGTGGAGGGATGAGCCCAACCCGAGGTGCCCCCCCAGAGCTCCCCTCACTCTTTCTGTCCTTAAGTGCCACTTAAAGTTCCTGCTTTAAACACCTTAATGAGCAAACGAGGTTAATCGAGGCCTTTTGCCGGCAATGTTGTATTTTTGGGATGTTAATTCTCACGTTTTTATGCTRAGATATATAATAATAATAAGTTATTTTCTGATATTGATGGAAAAATTATTTATACTTGGAGGTYTGAGAACCGAAGTGCCCTCAAGCAGTTGGTCTGCAACCACGAAATCTTCTCCCAGTTGGCTGCAAAAGCAGCGGCGTTAATATAATTGTTTGAAATTCGAGTGTTTTTTTGGGGTTTTGGTGTTCTTGTTTTGTGTTTTCTTTTTTTTTGAAATAAAGTGTAAAATCCAACCTTTGGCCCAGGGTTTTATTTCCTCACTCCAGGAGTGCGCAGGCAGCAGCTGCTTCCTCGTCCTGGCCACGGGCAAGGTCCTGTTGTGCAGCTCCAGTGTGGGTTCATTCCCGGCCCCTCCCAAGCAATTAAAGGCYGGAGCAGCCGATGCGCTGCAGGAAATGTTGGGAATGTTATTTATTTATTTTGCGTGAACGCTGCCGCAACAGGAGCTGGAATGAAGGGCTTTGCTGCCGCGGTTTCCACCCTCCTGCAGCTCCTGGGAAGGTGTGAAACCCGATTCCCTGCAGGAGGAGAAGCTGTCCCGGTGTTCCCGGCAGCACGGGCTTTGCAAAGCCCGGTCTGTGGCTTTGTGTGCGCCCCCAGCTCGGCCCGTGTCCCCCGGGGCTGGCAGCTCCCRGTGCCAGGCTCCTGTCTGGTGACACAGCCGGGCTGGCACAGATGGCATTTCTCGCTGTGGCAGGAAAATCCACCCATCCCTGCTGCTGGMACTGCCCGGGGAGGCCACGGTGACACCGGGGACCCACATTGTCCCTCCCTCCGGGCACCTGGCCGGACCCCATGGCCCCTCCAGAGGTGGCACTGGGTCACTGAGTGTCCCCAGCCCTGCAGGATCGGTGCCAGCCCAGCCAGGAGGGGAGGCTGGACCTGTTCTCCCACTCCTGGGATGCTCCAGCACGAGGCCACTCATCCCTGTCCCTGTCCCCATCCCTGTCCCCATCCCTGTCCCCATCCCTGTCCAGCCCCAAGCCCAGCCCAAACAGGTGCCACCCTGTGCCCAAGGGCACTGCAGCAGCACCAGCGCTCTGTTTGTTATTTCTCTAAGCTCCAAATCAATCCAAACCCCTTTAGTGTCTCCCAGTGCCACCCCCAGCCCTGTCCCCACACCACAAAGTGGGTGGCCTTGGGGGCACCTGGCCCAACACCCAAATTCTCATTTTTTCCCCCAAATCAGCTGCCTTGGCCAAGGACAGAGGTGCAGCCCAATGATGCACCGTGGTGGGGTCTCACCATGGATTTTTCCTGGCACCTGTAGATACAATGATCTCATTTCTCCTTCCTTAAAGAATCCTGCTAGGACAGAGCCTGTATTTCCCCCAAATTTAACAATCCCTGTTTTTTTTCCTGGAGGTATCGATGGCAAAGGTGAAATGCAAACACAACCACTCCAGAGTTCACGCGTCCCTGGATATTTTAGTTAAAAAATTGTGATTTAACAAAAATCTGTGGATTGAATGTCAGACACAGGGAGCTGTGGATTCATCCAGGACCCCACATCTGGATCCCACATCTGGATCCCACATCTGGATCAGCAGCCAGCCCCTGCCCCAGGCTCCATTTCAGGGCAGACACCAAGAACTCCCTGCAGCCACACCAAGGAGCTGTTTCAGGGTTGGAAATGGGGATCTCGAGCCAAACAAAAATCCCAAATCCTTCCCAAATTCCTGGGAACAGCMCGAGGCTCCCTCCCTCYCCATGCCCCACCAGCYCYACTCWGARTAATTAACAGAGATCATTAATTCCAACCAGGAGGGCGCCAAACAAACACAAACACAACGAGCAAGAATCAGTGCAGAGCTACATTGTTGGCTTTTTCAACTGCCACTAGAAAAAAAATACTCTTGATTACAAAAATAATTTGCACATAAGCACAGGAGGAGCGGCAGATTTCTCAGTCAGGCTGATTTTGGAGCTCTGCCAAAGAGATTTGTTAAACAAAGTTGGATTTCTTAATCTGTATCAAAAGTGGGTCTATAATTCTGTATAGAAATATGCAGCGTAAATGACAAGTGGTTCATAAATTCTGTAAATATCCTCCCAGAAATGCAGGGTCATGGCAGATCACAATTTCTGCACAGAAGGAGATCAGCAGCCAGCTGAAGTCAGGATTATTTTGAAACCCTTCGAAATTTGCTGTCATTATATAAAGTTTATGTATCTACACACACACAGAGAAAGGGGATTTTATTCTATGTATAATATATAAAATATAGACTAGATGGAGAGGCCCTCCAATTATAAATGCATAACCACAAGCTGGAGAGAATTTGGCATTTTTCCCATTTAAAAATGATTTTTTTTATAAAAATGAGTCAAGTTCTGACTCCCTGCACAGAAGCCAGCTGGGATTGGGAGTGAGGGCAGCGTTCCTCCAGCTCTGCCAGGGCACTTCCAGGGTGTGTTTTATACCAGCACASGTTTTTATTTCGAGAAGAAAATGCAGCAGAATCCTGGAAATTCTGCTTTTTCAACTCTTGGAAAGCAGGGAAAGCATCTCTGGTTCTCAATTTTATCTTTTATAAGCCCTGGGATGAGAGGCCAGCGGGAGGAAGGCTGAGACACAGCTCCCTGGAGCTCCCCAGCAGCTGCTACAATCATTTCTCAAGGTAGTTTTTGCTAAAAAAATGCACTTTAAACGTGTCTGTGCACAAACAGGTGCTAYCAGCAAAAAAAACCCCACAATTTAAAAAAATGTAAACCCGGTGATTCCATCAGATCTCCACGGCTTTGCTCTCCCAGCAAAGCTCAGGCAACTTTGGTCTGGTTGGAGTTGGCAAAAGCCACCAGGACCCCCCGTGCAGAGAGGCCAGAGCCCATTCCTCGGCCAGAAGGGCAGGGATTGGGGCAGAAACTCCTCGGAGAGGTGGGGATGGGCAGGAAGGATTCGGGAATGGGCAGGGAATGGGCAGGGATTGGGGCAGAAACTCCTCAGAGAGGCAGGGATGGGCAGGAAGGATTCAGGAATGGGCAGGGAATGGGCAGGGAATGGGGCAGAAACTCCTCAGAGAGG